CCCCCCCTACACACACACACACACACAAATGTTTGGAAACAATCACATTTAAACGTTCTGTATACATTATAAATTTTTGGAGTCATGGACTTGTAACTTAAACGTTGTATATGTTATGTAGCTTTGCAATGGCATCTCGCCGCAGGTATGAAGATCTTTCATCGTCCCTGAAGCACTGAGAGGAAAGACACCCAGTAGCGCGGATGAGCCAAAACACTGTGGTGAGGAAAGAGAAGGTGAAATTCTTGCAAAACCCAAATGAAAGAAGCAAGACATCACCTTTGATTAAGCCGCGCGCAGACTGTGCAGTGGTTCAGTTGCCACTGCAGGCAAACAGGTCTGATGCAAAACGTCGCGACCTGCAAGATTCAGCTCCCACCTCTCCCGCATTCACAAAGGATCGCATGTGACAGCAGCATTCTCCGCCAGCTGCGCCAAAGAAAAGGTCATGCGGACAAGGGAGCGAAGGAATACCTCGGAAGAACATAGGACATGCAAAGAGGAGAAGAACCATTGAGAAAGAATGGGAAGAGAAGGTGACAATCGATCTGAGGGGATCCGAAGGTGTCGAGGCTGATGAGGGCGAAAAAGGAGATGTGTCACGGGACACAGCAGTTAAGGAGCACAGGACCGACAGTGAAGAATATGATGAGACAAAGGACGGTGAAGCAGGTAACACGGACAGATTGAACGAAGAACAATCATATGAAGAAGATGAGAGCAACGAAGAAGAGGATAGTCATAATGGGTATAACAACACACAGGATGGCGATGACGACGATGATGATGGCGAAGAACCATCCCAAAGCAGTAGGAGGGAAGAAAGGCGTAGCAAGGACAATAGAAAAAAGACATCGAAAAACGCAAGGAGGAACAAGTGATAAAGGCAGGGAGGAAAGCAACGCCGACAAACAGTTGGTTCTGAAGGAGAAGGCAATTGAATGACGTAAGTAATCAATGTATGAGAAAAATCAAAACCTCAGCCGGAAATGATCAGTTAGCATGTTGTTTTGCATCAACTGTTGTTATCACCTGGCGGTAGTGAAAAATGGTAGCGAAATGTTAACTAGTTTTTCGATAACGAGATCTGAGATAGCCTTGAATATCTTTGTGCGGTTGTGGTTGTTTCTCATGCCAAACGAATGCTTGTGAGTGGCGGATACCAACTTTCAACTTGTGGTTGTTATACTCGTTGTTGCAGGCCGCTAGATTTTACAAGGAGGGAGAAAATGTCAAAACGAGGCGAAAAAGGTGAAGCATTAGGCGGGTGGCATGCGAGACGAATGCGACTTATTCGGAAAAAGGCAAAAAGATAGATTGTTGAATACCGTTGCTAAAACTTTTGTGCACTCGACAGCGAGTGACGTTGCATTCTACCTTCAAAGGACGACTTCTTCAATGCATTGCAGTTGGCTGCTAACCTTTTAAGAGAAGATGTGGGGGTAGGATTCGGGAAGTATGTACAGGACAATGGTGTACGGTGTGTGCTTATAGAGTGCAACCGAATGATGACAACGGTCCGTGGAGAGTTAACTTGACACTTGAGACATTAGTTTTGGGCAGAGAGCGGTTTCCCGCTCATACGTGGCACGCAGTCGGATCACAATAACATCGTGCGAAACGATATTCGTAGCCAAATGAATAAAAATAAGACATGGAGAAAGAAGGGCGACGAGCCATGGGGAGCAGAACATTTTAAGAGGGCACTCACAAAAGTTTTTCAAATAAGAAGAGATGACGGAAAGCTTGGCGTGACCTTGCAGCAACTAACGTTTACCGAACTTGTGATTCGCACAGAAATAGAACAGACAAAGAAGTTAAGCAAGGCGTCGGATCAGTTGCTGAAAATGACCGCTATTAAGAACGACATAGTCAATACAGCACGGAACCGAGACACAGTTATGCGTTTCTGCATTTTCAAGCTCGACCGCGACACACGTGTGGCAGATGTGGCAACACAGTACTACAATACAGGCAACAGAAAAACAAGGAACAGTGCAGTCGACGACAAGGGCAACAAAGTACATGACTTTGAATTCGAAGTCTTACCCCCGCAGACGCAACCGCAAGCTTCATGCGCGGGATCTTGAAATTTTTCCTTCACTGACACTTTTGTTATTCTGACGGATGGGACATGACTCAAGATCCGGTGGGATTGCGTGCCTGCAACTCGTATCACAACGACACGTCTATTGAGAGAGATAGAGATAGAGATAGAGATAGAGATAGATAGAGAGATAGAGAGAGAGAGAGAGAGAGAGAGAGAGAGAGAGAGAGAGAGAGAGAGA